TATATATATATATATATATATATATCTTTCCATGCAGGACTGCACAACAGGTGGGAATTATTCAGATCTTCCTTTCAGGGACACCAAGGAAGGGCTTGTGGATGTAGGGAAAAAGTGGTGAAAGAACTTAAATAAATAAGTAGCCCAGAACACCAGTGTGTGAGTTTCTAGAGTGAGAACTCTACCCAGCAGAAGGTTTCTGTGGTAGATTAACAGAAGAAGAGGATTTTATCTGATCTACAAAACATTTGTTTGATGAGAAATGCCATTAGATAAAAAATACTGTGCTGGTTTTGATCCAAAACAAGAAAGGTTGAATGGACAAATACGGAAAAATGAATGTCGCAGTAATAATTCCTGATTGATATCTGAATATGACCAATTTTATAATCCCAAGAAATCTTTCCAAGCAACAAGATTCATATTACTGCAAGGAATTCTCACTCACCACCTACCATAGCCTCAGATAGACCCATTTATAGATTGGATTTATTAAATGGGTTATGATTAACTAGATACCAAGCTGATTCATGTAAATCACAAGGCATGTCTCAAGATCTTCATACCATGCATGATGCAAATTAAGCTAAGGAGATGACTTAATTAGGTTTTCTTTTTAATTAATTTTTTATTTCTTTGAACTCTAGGACTTGGATGGGACTGTTTTATTTGGTTGGCTTTAGTTATTGTTATGGGGGACGAGTTGTATTGGGTAGGATAGGGAGTTTCCTTCGTGTAAGATTGATGTGATTCTTTCCTCGATTAGTTAGGATATAACATACAAAGGGAAGAAGATATGGTTTGCGCATGAGATAGATGGGGGGGCTCCTAAATGTGAGGGACTTACATGAATAGGAGGGAGGCAAGTTAGAGAGAGAGAAAACAACAGGGGATAGTGGGATAGAGAGAGAGATTTATGGTTTTTAATTTTCTTTATTTCTACTTATATTGGGAGGGAAACAGCCCTGCAGACTTGGACTTGGTTTTTTTTTTCTGAGAGGAGTTTTAATTGAAAGAAGAAAATCGTGTTTCTTCTTCCTTTTGGTTTGTTTTACAGCCATTATTATTCCCCTTCATTGCTAGTTATTAGCTTGCTCTTAGATCGAAAGATGGCCGGATTCAATTTCCTGGGTTTATTTCACATTAATGAATTTATGCAAATTACAAAAGATCGTCATACAACTAAACCCCAAACCAGTTCCAAGTCTTCTTTTGCCATTTGAAAAATCGTGCAGAACATAAAATTATAGATGATATGCCCCGAGCCTATTCAAAATGTTAGGCGCAAAAAGATAAAAAAAAAAATAACAGCAGCAAACTCAATAACAGAGGTCATTCTCAGCATTTGCTGCTCGAAATTGGATGCATACATGAATAAGAACTAGAAAAGTAAAATTAGAAGAGAGTAAATGGAAACTGAAATGAAATTCCAGATAAGCATGTGGGAAAGGATAACCTCGCATGGTACAAGTTGCTTTAGGTCTGAAATCGGCGTTTCCATGCTCCCATAGCTGCAAACAAAACAAATTGTATTAGAAATATTTGAACTTTGATCATATGTATCCATCTACAAGCTTCTTCCTTCAAATTGATGATAAGACAGGCTAAGTAATGTGGACACACATTAAAAAAACAAAAAATTGAAAAAAAAAAATTGTAATATGGACACACTGCATAGTGGAAGATTACATCATGCACTGTCGAAGAAAGTCAAATAACTCCATAATATACCTTGAGAACCAGGGTAAACATAGTGATTACATGGTGCACATCAGTAAACAACAAGAAAGGAGGACCTTACCGGACACTAAGAGGTGTATCATTACAAGTCCCGTATATGTTGTAGAACTTTACTGTTGAAGGAAGCTTAGCAGATGACATGATCTCCCGAGTTTTGTTTGCCCATTTAAATATCTCACGATTAAAAGGTAAATGGAGATCTACACCATCATACTGAATCTGAATACAAATAAAAGCTTAGCAGATGACATGATCTTCCGAGTTAAGTTGCTACATTCATCCATTATCCATAGTATTTTACTAGTATTTGTGCATATCCCTTAATCTTATAATAGAAACTTACAAAACACATTTTAAAGATTTATATGGTATAAAAACAATAGCATGACATGCGTTTAGATATTGAAAAAAAAAAAAGATTTGAATTCTGTGTTGTTAGATTTTCATTGGACGTACTACGTGGTCGCAGCCCATGATATGTCATGTACACCAACTTGTTCAATTGTTTCTTATCGCACCAACACATCCAAAACAACCAATATACAAAAAACCCAAAAATAGAGTTATAATCTGTAATATTCTATCAGTGTGCTTGGTTATGAAGAACTTTAAAGTCCAAATTAACTATAGTTATAACAGTCATTATCATTCTTTGCCATAATTTCTCATTGTACAGAGATGAAGAGTAAAAGCCACTGCAGATACACTACCCCAAAACCTGGACATGCCACAGGTGAGGCACAGCCATCCATCATGGTTTAGTTTACATTCTGGTTTCTTTCTTGTCTGTCATTTAAGCCCAGAGAAACAAAGCATTTTGGCTACTTCATCTTCCATCACAGCCACATCTCAGGAAAGGTTTCCATGAAGAAAAAATCTTGGCACGAAACTGCACAAGGAGAATTCTCACACCATGCTACAAACAAACTTGACACCTAAATCACTTAAATCAGAAAGAAAAATTGCCAACTACGTGACCCTAGCCACCAAAAACCTTGGATCATTATATTACTTTTATTGATTAACCTCGTAGCTCACAACTACTTCAAAATGGATGCCAAATGAAGCGTGCAAGCCGCAAAACAACAAAGTGTCAAAATTTCCAGTGTGTAACAATATGAAGGTATCCTTAAACCATCACAAACAACAATGTAAATACTCAAAGTCATTTTTCCTTCAAGGAGGCTCTCCCCCCACTACCCACCCCCAAAATAGGATGGTTATTCTAGGTGTTGTTAACTATATTCCATCACCTTGTCATCCAGAAAGAACTCTCTCCATGCAGAATTTGTTCATGAATCATGCAAATCTCCATCTTGTTAATCAGTACTCATTATAGGAAAAAGGCATATATGTGCGTGTGTGAGTGCCGATAGCTAGGAGCTGACAGTAGTTTCCCAAGTTATAAATTTATTAAATAAATTTTCGAGTTGTATATATTACAGTTTATATGAATTCCTCATATGTAAATTTTATCATAATTTATAACATGCTTTTTAAATATTCATATTCAAATATGATGTTTAACTATAGTTTTGATAGAGATTTGATACTGTTAATCCCGAAATATCCTCAAGATTCAGAATCCCCCAAATTCATGCACAAATCACTTTCAGGTGGAAGTTATTTCGCCATGACCGGATGGGGGTGTTGTGGCTAAAAAATCAATCCTTTAGCTTAATGACAGCAAATATGTATAAGATACACATAATGTGTCCCTGTCTGTTCTCAAAAGAGTGGAGATGACCCTTCCCCCTTAAACATCTGAATTACAGTTCATTAGCCAGTTGGCTACAATGTGATGTCAGCGCTATGGTTCATCTCCATTTTCTGCTTCAAGATAAAATGGCACATGCTCTACCTGAGGACACTGCAATTAAACATTGTGTCTATCCCATACTTCCCCCCCAATAAATGCACTTAAGGAAAACCAAGATACACTTGTCATCACAAGTGAACCTTCACAAGTCACATAAACTACAGTGTTTAAGTTCAACAAATAATTTTAAGTTCAAAATTATATGGGCACTTCAGGAGTGCATTCCCTATCAAAAATCAGATCCACATGCACACACACTGAACAAATGGGATGCTAGCGTCCCACAATGTGACAAGGAAAAAAAAAGGGTTGTTTTTCTTTGCCAAATGGGGTAGCTCCCACCCCCAACTCCCACACCAACACCTAACCCCCCCCCCGCCACNCACACACACACANACACACACACA